AAAGCTGGCCTTTTGCACCACCACATGAAGAATGCGACCACCAGAAATCCACCCTTAGCCAAGGAGGTTACTCTCATGAAAGTCTCCACTCCTCTTTCTATGGATCGTGTCCTGCAACCAGCATTATTCGCCGGACTCAAGCAGTACTTCGAATCGCGCCGGCGAATCCTGAAGAGCGGTGATCTTGTCGGCATCAGTGTCGACGAGGGACTTGGAAGGGCAGTCTTTGGAACTGCTGGCGGTGATGCTGCGAACCAAGAAGAGGACATCACTAGCCGGCTGGGCCAAGTGGCTGGTCCTGATACTGCTGGAGCACGCAAAGTTGGTGTCGCATGGTTCCGCGTTGGACAGGTAGCTCCCTCCTCCGTGGAAGAGCTAGAGGAAACGGGAGAGGATCAGTGGGGTGGAGTGGCCGTGATTGACCCGAGTACCACTCGCATGGTGCAGGCCGGCAGTGACATCAGCCGTGTTCCCGGCGTTCTGGGTAATGGATGGGAGTATTGGTTGGGCGCAAAGACAATTCCCAAAACGGGTAATGGCGTTTCACCAGCTCATGGAATTATCTCGGACCCGCCTCATGCTTTCGTTCCCCCTCTACAAGAGCGGATTCGTGATCTGATGGCGGCTGCGACAAGCCCTCGGGCGATCCAGCTTGGAATGAAGCCTGTTGTGATTTTGCTCCAGTCACAGCAGCGGCACATTGGCAAGGCCACTGTCGCGACTCGATCCTGCGCAGACATCGGTCTACACACTTTCCCAATCGACGCGTACGATATCTTGACAGAAGGTGGTGCCAATGGCGGCGATGTTAAGACCGAGGCTTACCTGAAGGCACGGGCCGAGCGTGCTTTCCACTGTGGTGCCAACTGCACCGCGCTGCTGATCAAGCACATTGAGGTCCTCACTGCTGACCGAATGGTGACTGCCATGACGGATATTGTCAACGATGCCCGTGTTATCATTGCCACCACCACCGATGTGGAGCAGATTCCGGAGGGTATTCGGAGCATGTTCACCCACGAGTTTGAGATGGGGGCACCCGAAGAGAAAGAGCGCGAGGGTATCTTGCGAAACGCCGTGGCGGAGCGCGGTATCAGCCTCTCCGCTGACGTCGATCTGGGCACGGTCGCCCTGAAGACAGCTGCACTGGTTGCCGGCGATTTGGTTGACGTTGTGGAGCGAGCGGCCGGAGCCCGGACTGCTCGGCTGGAACAATTGGCCGCAAATGCAAGCAAGCAGCTTTCCGGCATTGAAGTTTGTGTCAGAGATGTCCTCCTTGCAGGCGGAGACGGCGCACGGGGTGTCACCAGAGCCGATTTTGACGCCGCCGTCGAGGCTGCTCGGAAGAACTTTGCCGACTCAATTGGTGCCCCCAAGATCCCCAACGTCAGCTGGGACGACGTTGGTGGATTGACGAACGTCAAGGATGCTCTGATAGAGACCATTCAGCTCCCGCTTGAACGACCCGAGCTCTTTGCCAAGGGCATGAAGAAGCGCAGCGGTATCCTGTTCTACGGCCCGCCTGGTACGGGCAAGACGCTGCTTGCCAAGGCTATTGCTACCGAGTTTTCTTTGAACTTCTTCTCCGTCAAGGGCCCCGAGCTGCTCAACATGTACATTGGTGAATCCGAGGCGAACGTGCGCCGAGTCTTCCAGCGTGCGCGGGACGCTCGCCCATGCGTTGTATTCTTTGACGAGCTGGACTCGGTCGCGCCCAAGCGTGGAAACCAGGGCGACAGTGGCGGTGTCATGGATCGCATTGTCAGTCAGCTGCTTGCGGAGCTGGATGGTATGAATGGTGGCGAGGAGAATAGCGGTGGAGTGTTTGTGATTGGAGCCACCAATCGTCCTGATTTGCTGGACTCTGCCCTGCTTCGTCCTGGGCGTTTTGACAAGATGCTGTACCTGGGTGTCTCCGATACGCACCACAAGCAAGCGACCATTCTCGAGGCACTGACCAGAAAGTTCGCACTCCACCCCAACGTATCTCTCGACCGCGTTGCCGAGCGCCTGCCTTTGACCTACACCGGTGCCGATTTGTATGCGCTGTGCTCGGATGCCATGCTGAAAGCCATCACGCGCAAGGCCACCGCAGTGGACGATAAGATCAAGAGTTTGCCCGATGGCCCCGTCAGCACGGCGTATTTCTTCGACTACCTTGCTACACCCGACGATGTGGCTGTGATGGTCGAGGAGGAGGACTTCTTCTCAGCTGAAACTGAGCTGGTTCCAAGTGTTAGGTATGTGATTTTAACTGAAGCTGATCATTGCCGGCAATACTGACCATTTCCAGTGCCAAGGAACTCGAACACTTTGAACGCATTCGGCAGACCTTCGAGTCGGTCGACAAGCAGAAGCAGGACCCCAGCGCCGCTGCCCCGCAGACTATCGCCGAGGCTATGGAGGCGTTTAACCTAGGAGTCCATCCCTCTGCTGAAGAGCCCCCCACGATGAATGGAGATGTTTCCCCACCTCCCACTGGGGGCGGCATCCATGGCCGCCTCAAGGGGTTGAAACAGTGGCCTGGAAGCCTTGTTCGTAATGCCAGCGGACATTCAGCAACAGGAAACAAGGGCAAGGGCAAGGGTGTTGCCGGCAAAAAAGCAAAGGGACCTCAAGGTGGTCCTGACTCTGACTCGTCCCTTGAGAATCTCAAAACCACTGGTTCAGTGAATGGTTCTGGCCTTGCACGCAAGTATGGCACTGTTGATGGCGACGATGATATGGAGGATGGAGTTGTGGACGGTGAAGATGACGATGAGGATGACGATGACTACATTGTGCGAACTGATCACCTTGCAAACCCGATGGAGGATGTGGAATAGATTTCCCTTCATGTTGTCTGCGTGAGCTGCATTATCCAGCCCGTGTGTATATACTAACATTTTGACATATTTTGATTCTCCTGTGTATGGCTTTGATGATATCCCATCACCTGCCTTTTAGAAAGACTCTTTGATTACCATTCTGGAATGTGCTTTTCCTTTTCATCTAGTGTTTTGAACCCACCCATACAATGAATAACTACCACGTGAAGCATCTTGTGTTTCCCAAAAGGGTAGTGAGGTGCCCTTCGTCTTGTCGCGTATTGTCGTCCCCGTATCCTGATCGCCATGGCGCCGGCGGTTTCATTCACTGCCAACCCCATGGTGTGAAAATTCTTTTACCCTCACTACTCTTCTCATCCTCATCCTTCTTTGCTGTGCATCTCCCTCAACCATCACGTGATTTCCCAAACCCTCAAGACTTGAGCTTCAAGATTTCGAGCCTTCAGCTGCTTCTCCTGTATCCCAAAGCTTTTCTCGTCTCTAAACCCTGTTTTCCAGACCCTGTGTCTGGCCCCTGTTCCATCTCTTCTCCCACAACTTCTGTTGCCCGGAGGAAACCATGCAGCGAGTCATCAACAGACTACCCATGTGGGATGAGTACACCGACCTGGCCAAGTGGACGACCAACGAAATCTTGCTTAAGCTCGTATTTGACCGTCCTACTCAGCACCAGGAGGTAATGCATGTTGGCATCGAACCTGCCCTCGTCGTCGAGCCAAAGTGGACTTCCTCCTCGCTGGGCACGCTCGAGCGTATCCCGCAGGAGATCGTCGACCGCATCGTCGGCGAGATGGACTTCCTTGCCATTGAAAAGTTTGCTGGTGTATCCACTGTCACCCGCTACTCGGTTCAGAGCTGCCAGATATTTGTCGAAGTGCTAAAGTTCGCGCCCTACATGCCCGGTATCCTGCACTCCACCCAGACCGACAACCAGCACTCCATCAAGGACGTCTGGTGCGAGATGAGGAAGGAAAACTGCCGCTCTTGCGGCGAGAGGGGCAAGTGCCTCTTTATTCCGACCTGCGAGCGCGTGTGCCAACCCTGCCTCAGGCTCAACCCGTCCTACTGGACCTTTCCTCGCAGCGTGGCCTGCATCGCGTACGGCCTGACCGACGAGCAGCTCACGGAGATCCCATCTATTCGCACTCTGTCCATCGTCAACGGCACTTTTACCACCGAGGTCCCGTTCAACACAACCGAACCGAATCGCCGTCTGATCCCCCATCGTCGTGTCATGCACGCATCGGTGCGACTGGCCCTGAAGCACGCCGTCAAAATCCACGGTTCACTGGAGGCCCTGAAGCACACCATCGGCCACGGCGAGGTCATCTACGCCGATGCAAATGAAGCCGAACACAGCTATCTGAAATGGTTTGACTTCCTGCGCTCCGTTCCTTTGGAGCCGATCAACTGCAACCCGGCCCTGCTCCCATCGCCGCCGTCCGCCATCCCGACAGTCTGGGCATCCCAAGCGTCTTGGTTCCCTATCTTCAAGATCAACGAGAACTCCTCCCGCCGCATCCATCCGGGCATCGTCTCCATCGACTTTCCGTACGTGTCACTCGACCGTGAGCGCCTCCAGAAGACCTACCTGTGCAACGGATGCTATGAACTTTTCGACGAAAATCGCTACTTGCGCCTGCTGTCCCCACAGACCCTGAGCGCCATGATCCCACTCGATGTCCCTGAGAACAAGCATAAGGAGTTCCTCGGCCGTGAGTTCTTCCGTCGCTCGCTCATCTTCCGCCCCTGGGACGATATCCGCGCCCACCTGCGTGAGTGCCCGGGTGCGCGCTGGCTTATGTGTCGTAAACGTCTTGGCATGGAGAACAAAGCTATGGAACAAGAGTATGGGCTCGAGGGCCGTCACCTTACCCCTGTGTACACCTGGCTGACAACCGATATTTGATTCTTTCTGCTTCTTTCTTTTTATGGGTTCACGGTGTTTTGAGATCGTGGTTTTGTTTGTTCGTTATGGCTCTCTGCTTTGAGATGGCGGATGTATGAAAGCTTTCTACTCTAACTTCCTGAATTACAACATTGAATGTCAGTTTAATCGCAGGATCCAAGCCCTCTCTAATACTTCTGTAGTGGCACAATAAGAAGACATTATCATGTCATGTTATGATCAACGCTGGAAGAGATAGTCCATGTTTCATGGCCCTAAATATATTAGACCCGGGGGCATTCCCTCTCCTCCCTCCTTTCAGACAATTCTGCAGCTGATTCATCCAGAGGATCGTCAACATGCTCCTTAGAGTCCGAGACCGCAGGATCATCGTATATTGGCTCTGCAAGAAGCGTTTCTGTAGGAGGGAATGCCTTGCTTAGGGTGACGTATATGACAGCACCGCTCACAAAACTATAAAGGTAGCCGCAGTCATACAGATGCTGGATCCCGCTGCCTATCACGACACGGGTGCTCACTGAACTTGCAAGCCCCGGAAGCATGGGGACGACAGCCACGAGAAAGGCGACCGCGGCCCGCCAATTGATTCCGTAGTGGTATCGATATCGACCATGGCGGCGGTAGAGCGCCGGTACGTCAAAATTGCGATCTTTAACGATCCAGTAGTCAGCCGCCAAGATAGAAGCAATTGGTGCAAGGAATATTGCGAGCCCTGATATGAACGTGATCAGAGATTGTGCCGAGTATACGATCTTCCACGGGACCATAACCCAGCCCGAGATCAGAGACACCAGAATGACTCCCCGGCGAATGTTGATGTATTTGGGGAACAAGTTTGTTAGATCGTTAGACGCGGAAATGACACTTGCGGAGAGGTTAGTGCCAATCTGGGCTACTACCCAGCAGATTCCAACGAAGAACGCGCCACATCTTCCTGACGGACCATCCCAGTGGGAGGCCAATTCAAGAGGACTCCAGATGTAGGCTCCATAGACAACCTTGGCGCAACTGGTACTAATGGTACCGAATACGGACATAAGAAGATTTATCGCCGGCAGCATGATGGCCTGCCAGTAGACGCCTCTGCGACTTCTCATGTATCTGGTGAAATCTGGAATGTTGGACGCCATCGTGGCCCTGTAATATTGTTAGAAATTCTATACAGGTTACGGATAACCGAGAGATGGACAGGGTCACTTGCCAGCCACCGCACTGAGCGGAAAATTGACTCATTATCAACCAGCTTTTTTGCGATCCCGAAACCGAATACTCTTGATTCCAAATGTCGCCAACACCATGAGCCTTATAAGTCATCACAATGACTGTAGCTGTGCTCGCAGTCAAGACGACGAATACCTTGAACACAAAGAACCACTTGAGCTTGTGAGGTGGAGTGAGCATCACTGGGAATTGAACGCTCCAGAACACCAGGTGTGCTATCATCTCTTGGGTGGTAATACCGGCGTTTTCGGGGAAGTGATTGGGGATATTCAGGAACGATGGCCAAATGGCGCGTATCACCTAACAAGACGTGTTAGCTCGTTGAGTGGGTGATGTAGAGAAGATCTTTACCTGGAACATGGCCGTGCTTCCGGTCCAGGTTTGAATAGCTGATATAAGGCTCAGTTCATGCTTTCCTATGCTGTATCATTCTAATCCCACTGACCGTTCCAAAAGAGTGCGGTTATGAGTCGAACAATGACGGCAAACCTGGAAAAGTAGTACCCGAAGGACGATCGAGTAACGACTGGAAAGGGTATGTGATAATGAGCACCTATTGCACCGTTAAGAACTAGCGGAATTGTGTCCACAACACCTCCTAAGACGCCTATGTTCTGATTAGACAATTTTTCAAAAATATCTTGGGGTAAGTATCTTACTCAAATAAAAAGCTTCTTTCCATGTCAACCCGAGCTGGATAATAGAACTTGGTCCTTCCCAGCCCTGGGCATTCAGAGCGTCACTGAACCAAAAGCCCAATACAGTAAAGCTCGACCATGTTCTTCGCTCAACGGGTGTCACGTCGGCATCAATGTTTGTCCAAGAGCCTTCGTCTGCAAAGCTGGTTGTCTGGCGAGGAAGGACCCATCCTGATAATTTTGATTTGCCTCGGGTCTTCTCCACAAGACGTCCCTTGGCAGAAGTGACTCGTCGACGGATAACTTCACTCATAGATGCTAAAATTGAAAATTCACGATATGGTCTAGGCTAGTACAAGTTCGACTCTGGGTACAACTGAGTAAAATATAGTTCGACAGAGAAGTTGGGGTGGCCTCTAGACTTATAATGTTTTGATTCCTTTCTCCGCACTTCAATGCGGGACCACTGCGTTGGTAACTAACAGATCGGGAGTTGTTAATCATTTTGGCCCCATAGCCGATATCGTCGGCTGTAAAGGGGTGTCTGTCCACTAGCGTCCCCGACGCCCGCTATTGCCTGTGCGCGGTCGTCGTCGGTCGTCGTCGGTCGTTGTTGGAGTTCGTAACTGAGATTGCCCGTGACTGGAAACGCCAACCTCGTCGATCTTCATGAATCGCGCTTCAAAGTAACATGGAGTGCTGATAGGTGCTGATAGGTGGGCTTGATATCTATGTATCTCGGGCATCCGGAAGGGCTATCTATCTATGGTTATCTCTCTCTGCTATACCCGAAGACTTTCATTTACTGCCCTAGAAGCCTTTCATAACATCAAAATCAGATTTTGTTTTATCGTATGACGGTGAAATGTTAACCGAAGAATTTGCGATCTCGAAAAGCTCGGACTGACGAGTAGGTAGTCAAAGTCAATTCAAAGATTGCTCGAAGTATAGCAAAGACGTCCTAGAGTGGTTACGGAAATGGTTATGCATCAGAAGGATTCAAAAAAAAACTTTGCAGCTAATAACTATACCGATTACTCTCGCTATCTCGCTGCGTGGCTAGGATAATTTCTCGGTTATGATCATCGTTCCTGTTAAATCATTTCCGAAGATCGGCGCCATGGAATATTCCACGCGCGTTACGTGTTAAATTTTATCCCAGAAGCGGTCCAATTAATTCACCGGCATCCAACCCCTGCCGATCCGCTGCAGAACCCAAAATCGAGTGCCGAGACCTCCAACCAAGCCCGATAGTTCCATAATAAGATTGCGTGCATCTTTCTTGAACCAAGAGATAAGTAAGTGGCCCCCGGGCTCCACTAGTCCCGTAGCTGCGGCGATAAGCATGGTGAAGCGAAGTGCCTAGACACGACCATCGCAATTGTTCGCATTTCCAATCGCATAGTAGCTGCAATATTATTATTGTTATTATTCAACCGACCCCGTACTCCAATCCTCTCCGCAACATCCCCAGCATTCTCCAACCGCCATGAGGCGTTTGCATAGGGTCACCCCCACGGTGTGGGTTCCACCCAGCCCAATCATACCCGCGCACTCTTGACATAAGCTCTGGGGCGGCCATGGACAGTGTGCCTTCCCTGATCCACCAGGGCACTGCTTCCTTTCCACTGGCCCCAACCACCGCTGCGTCGGTGGCGCGAGCCAATTGCGATACACACCACCCCCTTATCATCTCCAGCTACCCCAAATCCACTGAGTAACTGAGACCGCCCCCGCGGTGGATGCGCCCGGATCAACGGGGGAAGGTGCGCGTCGAGCTTCTGTCGTCATGCGCAGACTGGATTCTTATTTCGTTTGTGCCATTTCCTGTTTTTCTTCTGCTCATCCCTTTTTGCGACGTGCTGCTCGACCAGCACATCTCCCTTCACCATGATGAAAGACGAATTCCCAAATGAAGATGATGCCCAGTTGGCGCAGATGGGCCACAAGGCGGAGCTAAAACGCCACTTTTCTCTTTTGTATGTTCTTCATCTCGGGTGGCTTGCTTGGCCTGCGCTAACCGCTTGCGCGTGTTGTATAGGTCCATGTTGGGTCTTGCCTTCGCGATTCTGAACGTATGTGATGTTAATGGATTGGAAACAAAGATGGATATTGACAATTGGTTGCGGCATAGTCATGGACGGCCTTGTCGGCGAGTTTGTCGCTCAGTCTGCCTTCGGGCGGCAGCGTTAGTGTCGTTTGGGGTATGCGCCCGAGGATCTGTTGGCGACAACGGCAGAATGTTGACCGGATACAATACAGGTCTGGTCACCGCCGGTGTTTGTAACTTGTGCATGGCCGCTTCTCTGGCCGAGTTCCTTTCAGCCTATCCTACGTCAGTCGAGGGCTGCCCGTTGTCCCATTGCTGCTGTTGCTGACTGATATCTTAGCGCGGGAGGTCAATACCATTGGGTTGCTGGTGAGTGACATTCGATTCAATACCTAAAGAGTGTTGACTGATCGCGAAATTCTTTTTTAACAGTCAGTAAGTATACGTGCTAGTCTTCGACATACCACCGAACCGTCGCTAAGAGTCAACTAGTTTCGTGGGACAACTGGATGCCGATCCTGTCCTGGATCACTGGCTGGATCAATTGCTCGGGCTGGGTGGCCCTGGTTGCCACCGGTGGGCTTCTGGGCAGTGAGCTGATTGTCGGCGTTATCTCTCTCATGCACAAGGTAAAGAAGAGTTCCGAGTTTCCGGAGTTTCGTCTCTAATGTCGACCTGCAGCACTACGAACCCCAGCGCTGGCATCAATTCCTGATCTACCTGGCTTACAACATCATTGCATTTGTGATCAACGCGGTGATGAACAACGTGTTGCCTTATGTGACTAAATCTGCCTGTGAGAAGAGCCGCACCTCTAGTCATTTAGCTTCGAAACTAATTTTCCCCCGAGTCATCTGGTCATTGACTGGCTTCGCCGTCATTTGTATCACGGTTCTCTCGTGTGCCGCTCCTAACTTCAATTCCGGAGAGTACGTTTACCTTCCGGAGATGTGCCAGTGCACGCGCTGACTCGTACAGTTTTGTTTTCCGTGGCTTTATCAACCAGACAGGCTGTATGTTGATTCGATTACTCTGAATGTCAGTAGCTGACTTACTCCAGGGCCCGATGGCATCGCTTGGCTGCTCGGTGTATGTTTTATTTTCCAAACCCCAGTGAACGTTTCTGACACACCAATAGCTTTTGCAAGGAGGTCTCGGTGTGACTGGATTTGTACGTGAATTTGCCTGAAGAGAAGTTTCCTTTCAAACAGCTACTGACCATGTTTGCAGGATGGTGTTGCTCATATGATCGAAGGTACTGCCAAATACACCAACCGGCTTTTCTATTCTTCTGGTCTAACTTGCACGCAGAGATTCCCAACCCTTCGGTGGAGGGACCCAAGATTATGATTGCCTGTGTTGGTATTGGAGCCGTCACTGGGACGATTTTCCTTGTCGTCCTACTTTTCGTGGCTGGTCCCATCAAGCCAATCATCAATTCCACTGCAACACCGCTCCTGGCAATTCTGAAGCATGCAACTCAGAGCAACGCCGGCGCCATTTGCCTCTTGATGTGAGTACCTATACATGGACATTGTGTATGTCGACTCTGACAATTCATGGCAAGGTTCCCTCTCGTCTGTGTGCTGTTTGCTGCAACAACAATCATGACTACTAGTAGTCGCATGATCTACGCTTTCGCACGGTATGTTGTCTCCTCCTCCGTATTGGCTAGTATACTCACGAGCATGACAGTGATGGTGGTCTTCCTGCCTCGCCTTTCTTCTCCAAGGTTCATCCTAAGCTGAATGTTCCCATGAATGCACTCTACCTCAACCTGGGACTTGTCACCGTGTTCGGCCTAATCTTCCTGGGCTCGACTAGGTAAGAATTTCCACTCCTATTATACCAATCCCCGACTAATTGATCACAGCGCCTTCAACGCCATTGTCTCGGCATCAGTGGTCCTGCTGGATCTTGCCTATGGACTTCCTATTGCGGTTAACTGCCTCCGCGGCCGCAAGATGCTTCCAGAACGAACATTCGTCCTCCCCACCGCCGTTGGGTGGATCTTGAACATTGTACAGACCTCTTCATACTCTGCGATGCAACATGCTAACTTTCTATTACAGATCTCTCTGGTCTATATCATTCTGACAACCATTCTTTTCCTTTTCCCACCCGACTTGCCTGCTACCGGCAGCAACATGAGTAAGTAGACACCCTTCGTAATATGTATTGTATTTCCCAACGCTGACTGCTCTCCAGACTACTGTGTGGCTGCGTTCGGGATTGTATTCATCATTTCGACTATTCAGTGGTTTGTGGACGGCCGCAAGAACTTTGTCGGGCCCCGCATCGAGATGGAGGTTTTGTCCGGCCAGGTCGGCAGTGTTCCTGCTGAGCCATTGCCCCTGATGGACCATGAGAAATAAACACGACTGGCAGCGATACTGGGTATATATTGCTAGCATAGAAGATCAATTTCAAGTTTAGAATCTACTCAATTTATTCCTCGAAAGAGTCGCATACAAAATCGTCCAAACCCTGAAGAAGAAAAGATTCACGTGCCTTAAAGGCTAAAATCAATGATATTCAGACCTCGCCAGCCTGGACCCCATAATGGAGCTGGCTGCCATATAAAAACGAACCCCCAACGGCAAAAGGTCAATATTGAAGGGAAAAGGAGATATATCCTGTCATACAAATTGAAACATTGTACGCAGTGAAAACACCGCCAAAGTGAGGCCTTTTGGGAGGGTATTGGTGGGAAAAATACAATCTCCCATAGTTAAGGCGCCTCAACTAAGGAGGCACGCCACAGAGAACTGATAAGCCCGCACTATCTTATCTATGATAAGCCCCCAAAGCGGTAAAGGATTGCCGCGCATTACGTCATTTTCCCTGCCTCAGGCCGCCTTTTCCCAACATTCACACGCCCCATCGGCTGCAACGGCTCAATCCCAAGCTACATGCGACGACGACCATGGAGAAACTTGTGCAACAGTCATGATTGACTTAGTCCCCATGATGCTTCTGGCTTAAACAAACACTTCTTAACGCGAGACTGACAAGCCCTCGATTAACATCCATTTGCCCCGCCGTGAACACGACGACAATGTTCTCGATTTCGTTGCCGTCGCTCAAGCTCTTCTCGCCCGGGAAGGGCCAGAGTATCGACCTGGCTCCGATTCAGGTCCACGAGATAGAGACCGCGCAGGAGAAGCCTGCCCGCGCGTTGAAGCATCTTCTCAAGCTGAACCATGCCAACCACGCCATCTTGTGGAACAACCGCAAATTCCATAATCATGCTCCTCATGTTCGTCCTATATTGCTGATTTGGATGACATGATTGTATGACTGATCACTGTCTAGATTCTCTGTTCCGCATTCCTGCAGGGCGCAGACGCGGATGATCTAACTCGTGTCTATGAGACCGAGTCCAAGCTACTTGATCCATGGACTGACTCGCCTGGCGAAATTAGTTCTGATGACTGGAGAGACTACCTGGGATGCCGGGAGTATGTGTCGTCCTTAGCCCGTATTTATGCCTCTCTAGCCTGCTAAATCACCTTTTTTAGATACCAGCGTGCCTTTGTCGACTATTTTGAAGACGAGCTGGTCCGTTTCAGCTATGATTGGAAAAAGGTTGTGTCAGAATATCTCTTCACCGGCAAGGAGCCCATGTTCAATGCTCTAATCGCCGATCGTATGTCTCATCTCTGTAAGCTTGTCCATATACTTGACTGAGCTAACGTGGTCATCTATAGTGGGCCACCCGTTAATCCATCTCGCATATGCATTTGAAATGTCCAGCCGCGAAGTGGCAATGGAAGCGCTGGGTCTTACAGCCGTCTGCTACAGCGACATCCACAAATGCCTGGACGATCCAGTGCTATCCCAAATTGAGGCATCCTACCACACAACCTCGCTTTATGAAATTCTAAACCGCATCCGAGCAGATAAGCAGCTGGATGGCCTCTTCGCTACTCCAGGCGACCACAACCTCGAAACGCTGTTCCACACTCGCGAGGCTGTGCTCTTGAACCACTTGAATGCATGGAAAATCGACAACCCCGTCGAACAATTCCGCGAGAGCCAGGAACTAGCTGCTGCGCTCCTGGTCGCTACGCATGTCGACTCCGGAGAGAAATACGATTTCTTTCTCGTGCACATTCTGACGACCAGTCATGCTGTGCGAGTCTTGCTGCCGTTGATCCCAGTGCAGTTTCAGATTCCGCTCGTCAGACAGTGGCTACTCCTGACGTTGGCTGTATATATTGCGCAGCTCCGGCCCGAGATCGATTTGGACCGGATTCGGGATTTTGATTTAGAGGGGAGAGACTGGAAATGGGCGACTAATCAAGGTATTCACGCAGAGTCTTCGACGGATGCGCACTATGTCAAGGCGATCCGGGCATTGAGAGAATCGGCTTCTACCTGGGGTGATCCTGAAAAGTTCTTTTTGAAGGCGGCTGTTAAATTTGCTGATGAGTTTAGTGGCTGGGGTGGATTTGTCTGATCTTTATCTAGCGTTGTTATTCTGCTCAAAAGCCTCACACCTTCATTCGTTTAAACTATATCTAGTTTGTGTCGTATTTAAGTTAGAAAGAACTCGTTCAGAAACATTGATGACTGAACGGACTTGCTCAATCAAGGCCACTTTATATGTCACGTGATCCGTTTGCACTGTTTGCTACAAAAACATCGGTGTTGCTTCCTTCCACAAGGTCTCTGTCAAATCTCCAGATCCGATACTTTTCGAGCCGGCTATGTCCATAAGACCAGGGGCGCAAGATGCAAACGTGCCCCTGCGGCTACACGCCGAGCTGCTTCCCAATATCCGTCAGATAACACTCTACGCTTCGCTGCCACGAATCCCTGAGCTGGTAGGGATTCGCCCGGCCATTCAACTCTCAGATTCACGCAAAGAAGCCACCGTCTCTCTTCCATCTCCGTTCGATCATGTTTCCGAGACTATCAAGCTGCCTGCGCGTGTCAGTGACGCGTATCAGCGACTTGTGAATGCCCGTACAGGAGCTGCTGTAACCCCAGTATCCACCCAGTCCACGGATACCAGCCAGGACTACTCTTTCAGGATGCAAGTTGATTCATCTGACGAAGACCTATTGTTGCCTCGAGATGAGCTCATAGATGACTATGTCCCCTGGACGGCGGCCGACATGTCACTATCCACTCGAATCTGTTGCCAGAGGTGCGGCAATACGTTTCTGAAAACTAAGACGTCTTCCTCCAAGACCGAAGACAACGTGGGCCAACCCGAGGGATGGATCTGGAAAGACCTCCCCAGTGGAAATTGGGCCGAGATGATGGACTTTTGGCATTGCCACAAGCCCGATCCCCATGAAGACGACCAGGATGGAACCAAAAGTACTGCTCTCGGAATAGAGGACCAAACTGCTCAGCTCAAGGGGTACGGAGCCGCCAGTCGAGTCGTCGCAATTCCAGGAACTGTGCTTATTGATACGGCGACGTTCCTGCTTGTAGAGTCGGACTGCAGGGGATTGAAAAAGGTAAGATTCTTCTTCTCTATTCTTTCGCTACATATTGTCTTCCTTTTTTTTTTTTTTTTTTTTTCTTCAGAGTGGGCAACTCAGAAGGAGACCATCTCTTTTCCATGGGGTGATCTCCGATACTATTGCCCTATATTAATGACGCCGAGATCATGCTGGTTGAATGGCGGTTTGTCACAGACCCATGTCTAGGAAACCGGGGTGCAGTTATCCTCTCTTGTCAGATGGATTTCGCCCTTTGGTTTTTGACATCGTGGATTTGGGCTGGCTGTTTTGAATTCCGGTGGAATCACGGCTTTGCGCGCCCTTGCATTTTTCAACATCACATCTGGTTCTTCGGGACCTTTTCAGTGGGTGATGGTGTGATTAAGGCCAGGGACACTTTGAAGCAATAGCTGTGTCAATTAATGAGATTATTTTCCCTTTTCGCTCTCTTCATGCGCCGTTGTTATCTTGGGACCGTATTATTTTCTGGGATTCAAACCGATTGCTTACTCGGACCTACTTCCAGGGCAACAAAGAAGAAGCGAGTTCCACTATCAGGCCATTTGAGAACATCACCTTACAATGTGAGAAATGTGATTCGATCATAGGAATCGAAGATCAAACTGTCAATGGATGGCGACTTCTCAAGGCGTTCGTGGGACTGACTATCAACCCCTCCCATGGCTGGGAATCGCACTGCACAGACAAAATTGTCGCGGCGCAGCTGCTCGAGTTGGTCGAAAGAGAGAGCGCCCGAAGGTTCATTGTACATTGCGGCCAGAGGGAGGGACTTTTGGTATGTTTCTCTTAGACAAACATATATATTTGTCTCGGTTATTGACATGTAGCAGCTTTGGGTCTTCAATCCCGATATGCGATATTCAAACCCTCTCAACTGTATCGTACCACAGCAGGCCATGAAGGTGTTGTTCCAGGAAACGGAGGATTTAGACCGATATCTCAGCCCCGAGCTGGGGAAGGTGACGCCTCTTTCACTCGAGGAGCTGGAACTGCCTTCCAAGGTCTTCACGGATCTGCGAGATGTTCTGAAAGAAATGAACGAAATGCTACCGTCCTCGACTCGGAAATTCAACGAATGGCAAGTGGGGCTATTACATCGTTTCAAGCGTGACAGTGCTGTATGATGACGATATTTAATGAAATATTTAACCCCAGTTGAAAGGCCTACGACATGTGAGTGCTCCTCAGGCTGCAGCTTTATGATTTGCACTGTGAAAGGCAGTAGTCTCTTCAAATTGCGCGTTTTGGTATCGGATATCATTTAACTCGAATCGTACTCTTTATCATATTAGGGAAATCAGTTGCCCTCGCCTTCGAAAGGAGTCTCATAGGGCCTCTCAGCCTGAGGAGTGAGGCGAGCAATGTGACGTCGCTGGCCATCCTCCCAGTCAAAGACTGCAGAGTGAGCAGCCAGGCGGTTATCCCACACAACAACAGTGCCAGCCTTCCAGCGGATGCGAGTCTGGAGATCTTGCGAGAGAGCAATGTGGTCGTACAAGAACTTGAGGAGGAAGTCTGACTCCTCCTTCTTATATCCAACAATGTACCGAGTGAACTGTGGGTTGACATAGAGCGCCTTCTCGCCGGTCACTGGATGCGTGCGGACAATGGGGTGCTCATGTGTCACAGGGTTGCGGCGAGCAATGCCACCACCGTTGAGACTGGCGTTGATCTGCTCCGCGCCGGAGTGAACAGCCCGCAGGCCGTGCAGGCGCTTACGGAACTCGGGTGACAGGCGCCGGTATGCCTGAGCCATGTCGCCAAAGAGAGTGTCACCGCCACTGGATGGGCCGTCCAGTACGTACAGGAAAGTAGTGCCCGGGGGCTGACGCTCGAAAGTCACGTCCGAGTGCCAGGTGATCGTGTTGGTTCGCTGCTCCAGGAACTTGGCACCAGTGCGGTCCTCTGCACTGCGGTGCACAAGGTGAACCTGAGGGAAGCCTGGGGGCGCACCGGAGGTTTGGTGGATGTGGTGTCGGCCGAAGTAGCCGGTGTAATCGACCATCTCCTGGATGGGCCGGGAGGCGAAATCCTGGTCTCGGAAGGCAACAACACGACGCTGGGCGACGAAAAGGGCCAGCTGATCCTTGCCCTTGTCGGAGAGCTGGCTCAATTGCACGCCATGCACCTCGGAACCGATGAACGGGCAAATGTTGTCCACTTCGGCCACGCCCTTGGGCAGCAGATCCGGGAAGCTGGGGTCGGCGTCTTTGCCATGATCATAGTGCTCGAATGGCTCCAGAGGGGGGTATCTGACTGCGGTGTTAGACAATGAGACACCGTCAAACTTAATCGTTAAACATACCGTTCTGTCTCGTTATCCCAAACGGGCAGATAGTTAGGGAAGGAGGCGGGTGGCTGCGTGGAAGTGCCGTTGATCTCAACGTCCCTGTCGTACTTGTAACCGATCAAGTTCTCCTTATTGGAACCGCCATCAGTCTTGAGGATCTGTTTTGCCGGCTCGCGGAGAGAGAGTGTCGTGGTGGTTTCGGTGAGAGAGGGAGCCATTTTGTGATTCTTTCGTTTTAATGACGAGACCAGTAGTAGTATCTGGCTTGCTTGCTAGTCCCATTGCCCTGGAAGTGAGAACATGTCGATATATATACCCATTTCGGCCGAGTCTTCCGCGAGCGACACGACCGCGGGGTTCAGCAGTTACCCAGTTCAGAATGCCAAAGTGGCATCTTTTTCTTCAAGTTAATTGGAATAAAGTCATGCCGCTGCGGGGTCGTTATTATCGAGTGATGCCATCAATTAATCTTTTTTGACGTGACGCTATGGTTCGTTATATGGACAGGAGATGGCGTGATAGCCGATGCCGACGTCCACTCATAGCCAGGTGCGACTCGTGGGTGAGGCCAAATTTAGGCTTATCAACTGGCGTGCAACGCCCCGGCTGTTCAAAACCAAGGGCAGATCCAGGGGACTATGCGCTTTTTGGCCCGTTTCTGGTGTTGTCAGGACCCCTCGTGATGGCGTGATGGCCTTTTCCGCAACGCTTTTCCGGACTTCACGGGCCATCAGGTTGAACCAAAAAAAGAATCTAGAATTTGTTCTTCGGCTTCGGCCAATCTATTACCATGATAGTATGGCTGACATCTTATCAAGATCTCGATACGGAGCTCCGCTGTAGCTGTTTGTTAAGATGAAAGCACTAGCCATATTGTATGGGGAATGGAAGGCTAGTTTCGACTCATGCCAGATAAAGTGGAGAAATCTTCCTAACTCCCCGACAAACAGCAGACAAGCCAACGGCTCCAACTGTCTTCCAGGCTCGTCGGCAGTACGTGAGAAGTGGGGAGGTTGTTTATCCAGAAAGGAGGGCCCCCAAACATGCGTCTCGACCAACAAAGGCGGCTTAGACTCGCCTATCCTAACGTCACTTTATCTTGTCTTGCGTGATCCAGCCAAGTGCCCCTCCTCGGGACAAAGACTGCGTCAGTTGCATGTCTAATACGTGCAAGCACAGAACTCCGATGGACCAGGCTCGGCAGTTTGGCTTCAGATCAGCACGAGGGTCCCAATTGACGTCCAGTCGGGACAATCTACTCTCTCCACTCAGTAATATGGAACCTCAGGGCATGTAGAGCGCATTGTGGCGCGCTTGGTGTCAATTACGCCTTCCGGATTCAACACGCCGTGCATCGTATCTCATGGATTGGCATCATGTTTCAACAACATGGTATCATCCGCATAGAAAAAGCTTGGGAGACTAAAGCACACATCTCCCAATCGCAGCTGTTACAATATGGCGTGATGGTAGAGGGCGGATGATGCTTTCTGCTCATGCTCTGCCCTTATAGCTCTGGATTCCCATTCACTACTTCCCGTAGCTAGATTTTTCTGTACTACTCAATTTCCAATCCAGCTCAAGACCCGACACCATGACGGTCGAGGAGGATAAGAAAACGCTCCCCGGTAACGACGACACCAAGGCTGCGGCTGCTGTTTCAACTACATCCGGATCGTCGACCTCGCTGTCGGTTACGGGCCGCCGAGGGCAGTACAAGGATATCGACTGCGCCTTTGACACTACCGAGGACCCACGTTATTACAAGCCCATTCCGGAATATGAGGGCATTCACAGATGGGATCCCGACTTTGAATGGACAGAGGAGGAAGAGAAGAAGGTTGTCAGAAAGGTGTGTCCTAAATCCGCCCGTCTTTGTTGCATTGGCTCAATTAACGTGACCGGGAATGCAGATTGACCTCCGAGTTTGCACATTTGCCTGCGTGACCTTCTTCGCGCTCCAGCTGGACCGAGGAAATATTGTCCAAGCTAATTCGGACAATATGCTGACCGACCTCGGCATGAACACAAATGACTATAACACTGGCCAGACCATATTTTTCCTGACCTTCCTGTTCGCCGAGCTTCCATCACAACTTATTTCCAAGTGGGTCGGACCGGATCGTTGGATTCCTGTGCAGATGGTTTGCTGGAGTCTTATCGCGTCTTGTCAAGCATTTGTCAAGGATAGATCAGGATTCTTTGCCTGCAGAGCTATGCTGGGCCTTCTTGAGGGTGGTTTGTGAGTACTTGCCTCGGACATATGTCGTTGACCATGCCGCTGACCAGCTGCAGCATTCCTGATACGATCTTATTTCTTTCGTTCTGGTACAAATCCAAAGAGCTTCCGGCCCGCCTAGGCTGGTTTTGGGTTTCTTATGAATTCACCGCAATCGTGGGTGCATTTCTGGCTTTCGGTTTTCTGCATATTCGAGGCCCTGATGGCGGCGGTGGCTGGCGGTACTTGTTTGCCTACGAAGGTCTGATCACAGGCGTTATTGGCATCATTGCCGGATTTTGGATGCCCGCCTCTCCCACGCAAACTGCTGGACGGTTCCGTGGAAAAGGATGGTTCACTGAGCATGAAGAAAAGATCATGGTCAACCGCGTGATCCGGGATGATCCCAGCAAGGGTGGCATGCACAATCGTCAGGCCGTCACTCCCAAAATGCTGTGGAAGGCGCTATGTGACTATGACATGTGGGTTATCTACTTGTTGGGATTGACTTGGTTGGTCCCGAGTATTCCCGCAACGAGCTACATTACTCTGGAACTGAAGGCGCTTAACTTCTCGACTTTCCAAACAAGTCTGCTCACGATACCCTCCTATGTCATCTTTATCCTAAATTTGCTTTTCTGGACATGGATTTCCGAGCGCTTCAACCAGCGCCTGCTTCTCGGTGCAATTGCCCAGCTCTGGGTTCTGGCGGCTTTGATTGGTCTGGAGGTCATGCCCGACAATGCCAGTGCCTGGTCTCGCTGGGTGTGTATTTCACTCGTGATCGGCATGCCGTACATCCATGCCGTCTTGGTGGCGATCACCTCACGGAATGCAGGTACGGTTCGAACCAGAACTGTTGCAACTGCGTTGTACAACATGACGGTTCAAGCCAGCAACATCATTGGCAACAACGTAAGTTCACCTTTATAGGAAACAATCGAGGTATTTTACTAACCAACCTCTACAGATTTACCGCACCAATGACAAACCTTATTACCACGTTGGGAACAAAGTTCTCATTGGGCTTTCAGTATGGAGCATGGCGTTGTTTATCGTTGCGAAATTATACTATGTCTGGCGAAACAAGTATGATACGCCTCTCCCGTTGTTTTGTTTTTGATTTTAGTCCTGACTGAGATGTGTTTAGGCAAAACGCGGCCGTCTGGGATAACATGTCAAGCGAAGAGAGAGAACGATACGTGGCGGAGAACAAAGATCTTGGAAACAAGAGGTAGGTCGCCAAGTCTGTCCCGTTCATATGCCCATTAAACTCCAACTAATGTTTCCTTCCACAGAGTCGATTTCCGATTTTTGCACTAAAGAAATGATTGTATGACGCGATTACAGGAGGCTCTTTCTTTTGTGTTCAATAAGTATTCCGTATTCCGTAAAATAGCTACAACGGACTTATTTCTCTGTGATGCAATCGGTGATTGATAGACCTCGCGAAACATGTATTTCTCACCCCGTACAGCAACGCTTTCAACCTTATTCCCCAATGACGTATTCGCAACCCTCATCTCCAATCCAGACCTCATGAAGTTTCCCTGCGGGTACATCAATTCGAGCTCCCACACCGAAAGTTTCTTTCGTGACCTCCCCCCATGATTATCTCCAGGGTAGGTGATTGTGAAGGAGCCGCGACGGATAAGATGCGTCGTCAGACCACCGTGCGAATGTGGAGAGTAATGGGAGTTGCTTGGATACTGTCAGCGAGCCAATGTATAGAAAGAAAGAACATGGAAGTGGGAAACATATGAACTCATCTTGCCGTGGGGGGCGGGGGGAAGGGAGGGGAAAGCATACCTTCCATCTTCCCAGGTGAAGACATGTCGGAACCCCCAGCTGCGAACGAGACTCTCACTTTCAGCTGCTGTACCGATGGGGTAGGTGTCGGGCATAATGGCGTTGAATTAAGAAAAGTACACAACCTTCAAACGCAAAGATAAATAAGGAAACGTTTTCTGTTGACGTTCAGAGACGATGATGTCATCGGGACTTTTGTTGGACCATGATGTGGGTAGGGTCTATAGGATCAAGACAAAAGTCCAGGAATGATAGACAGTAGTACGAATATCGAGACGTCAATTAATAGAAGCAAGAGATAGAATGACACTTTGAGTAACAATAGCTTCTCGTGCACCTGACCCCGAGTCATTTCGCCATCCGATGTAAAACCAGATGTTCGGACGATTTCCAGATATAGTCGCCGACTGCACCATCAAACCCCCATTCGACAGGGACATAGGAGATCTAAAAGCATTTAATCACGGAGAGGTTCAAAAGCTCGACATCGACATGAATGTTCGTCTCGCGATTTTGGGCACCCAGATACACTGTGAGCCTTTCATGCGCAGGGCGTCCCGCACTCATGACAGCTCTTGCCTGGGATGACCCAGACCTCTTTGCCCTTCTTCGCACAGTTTGGGCACCGCACGCCAGGCATCTATAATCTCTCGGTGTAAGCATCCATCCGCAAATAAATAGGGATGATTAAGGGAAGCAGAGTGTCAAAGACGGACCTTGTCGGTGGGAAGGGAGCTCGGGCACGCCGGCGCACCACACTTGAGGGAGTCAGGCATTGTTTATTGAAGAGAACGTAGAATAGTAAATAGAATAAAGTTTGTGTGTGTGGCCTAAGCCAGGACGATCGTTCTCGACCGGCCCTATTTGAACTTTCAGCGAAATCTTAGCAACGCCGTCTTTGAAATGAGCTATCGACTGGGCCGGACGGGGTTTATATGGCCCCAAGAACAGAATCTCAAAAAGGGGGACTTGATCCCGCGATCGCAAAATTGAAATCCCAGCGGTACTAATTCCTTTTGAAAACTTTAGTCCCGCCATCTACAGGTACATTTTACGTGCCCGCCCGTGTGTGAGTGTATCCACAGCAGACAGATCTCTCATCCGGCTGCATTGACGCAGAATCACGGAAGGTGCCGTTGTTGGATACTACGAAGACGAACCATCCTCCTTAGCCCTCGATCGAGCCAGTAGGGACATGCGATCGCTCCCATCTTGGTGGATGACGGCTTGACTACTGCGTAGACAAAAGGAAGACCAGTCCATCGGTTTCAACCCACGGAGAAGTTCCAACCAATAATAACCCCGGTTCTCGGTAGATACCGACCACTGCAGGTGAAAATTCATGCAGAGTTGCTCTTAGTTGTTTGCTGATCATGGGTGCTGGCTGTGGACGCGCGCGGGATTATCTCTCTTGTTGACCAGAAAGGAATTGTTGATCGGTCGGTGGCGCCGGTAACTCGGTACGAGTGCCCGGATTGGTATGGACTGGTTGATCAGAAGACATCACAAGTTGATGTATCTGTTCTCCGCGACCCCAGGGACGATCACTGGTGGGCCCAGCGCTCGGGCGTCCTCGGTGTTGGTCTGGAGTACGGATTACGGAGGCGCTGGTTTGTCCACTCACTTTGGCATGGCCCCGATTAATCGGAATGTTCGAAATATCACGATCGCTATCGATTATTGGCTGAATCGGCACGTTTCGTTCCTTGCTGGCATGATTCTAATCTGACAGGTCAAGATTGTTTCACTGCCGAAACCCCGCTCAATGAAATCCCAAGGGCACGGAAAATAATTCCCGGTGTCGGTGACCCTGACTACAGATCGGAGAATTTATCTTTTGCTTGTCCCCTGAAATCCCAGGGCCACCATGGATCAATTTAATGAATGCGGCCGCTGTTGTTGCTGATCGGCCATGCTGAGTGGCCGGCCCCATAGCAGCCCGGATGTTGTGCTTCACGGCAGACGGCATGTGCCCGATTTTGCATCTTGATTTCATCGTCGCTTGCGAGAGCTTCACCGACCTTTGGGAGGTCCACTCGCTTCCATCAAACTGCTAAATTGTCGAGTGTGTGTCGAGCGTGTGTCGATCGGGCCTAAGTAGTCCACGCTTGTATAGGTCCCGCGAGACTATGTATTGGGCCTCGGTTGACGTAGTGACCGGGGCCGATTGCACGCGTTCCCCGTGCAGAACAATGCATATATACTACTTGGTTGTTTGCTTTCAGTATGCAAGAATGCAATATGTCCGAGTGTGATCATACTGGACCGAGGACGGGTAATCTTGAACTGGAAGCAAAATTGTACACCGACATTCGAAGATACCCTGCCGCATAGCGCCGGATCGTTCTGATATCCTGAGGTCGCGTCACTGATTATCTGTCACTCAATCTGGTAGGTTGTTACATTATTGGTCCTTGCTGGACGTCATTGTTTAAAGGCCGCTAAATTCCCAAGAACTCTAGTTCGCAGACAGATTCCTGTGAGTCGGGATACCCGCATTGCCTCGCGCCATCGGTAGGATGCAGATAATAGACTATCCTTGTAGATTGCAACCCTGTATTATCTTTTTTTACCTACTCCTTGCTTCCCGCCAGTTCTGCAGTTCTGCATGTATTCGAACCTCGGTCTCGGCAATAATCTCGTCACTGTTATGCTACTCGCACCATGCTTTAATTCTCCGAGTCTTGTAACGGCAAAGCTGCCAGAACAGTGTTTGCCCATCTATTGGACTAGGCTATGAACCTGCAAACGCATCCTGTGATTAAATTAAAACAATGCTGGTTTTCGACAACCATCACCGCCGGCAACACCCGACATCCGGCGCCATTCTTTCACGCGATCGCAAGCCGAGCCGTTCGTGGCAACTAATAACTGGTAGGAATCATATCAAGCGGGGTCCCGGGAAGTCCGCAACATCACAATAACCTTTCTCATGGTGGCTACACTGCAGGGCACAGGAAGCCCCTCTTCATAATGGCGGAAAGACGACGTCGTTTAAAATATCCACTTCCATTGCATTTGTCACGTCACTAAAGAACAATGTCACGTCGACTGCATAGACTAAGAGAAGCGCTTCATGATGTTGACCAGCAGTACTCCGCCGGTCTTCTCCCCGGTGCAGTCGTGAAGATGAACCAATCGATAGCCTTCACGCAGGCGATCGAGCCGGATGCAAGTCCACGCGGCCAATTCGTCACGACCAATCTCATCGTCCTTAATTTTGAACCTGATAAAGCGAACGAAGTCAGTGATGCGTCTTGGCAGAGATATACGACATCGAAACCAAAGGTCATGGGAAGATGAATGTTTGCCTTTGCTGTCAGGCAATTGTGTAACCATGTGTTGGAGACCTGTATAGGACGACCGAAAAGGCCTATCACCCACAGGGTAGATCATGAAGGTCGGGCATATATTCCGTGATGCAAGGATCGCCCAATTTGTCGGGTGTATTGAGGAGCGCGGTGGAATAAAAAAATTTTTACTGACCGAATAAAGCTCAATTCCTCCACAATGCCCGTCACTGTTGCGAAAACGAGCCTTTGAGCTCCAAAATCCGGATTCTTTCCTGACGCACTCTTGGTGCATCGTTTGTAGCTGCTCTTCTCAGAGTCGGAACTGATATCCTCTTGGCCCGTGGTAGCTTCACTGTCCGGCTCTTCGACATGCAGTTGGCAGTTCAGATAGGGTCGGAATCCTTTCTCCCGGTGATCACCAGGCGGCAAGGCCAAGTCTTGGGCTGCAAAAACTTCGATGGTCAGGTCAAGTGTTTGCCTTTTAGCAACAGTGGAAGCAGGCTCGGTGCTTCGGTAACCAGTGGGCTTCAGTTCCCAACCATGGGTTCCGCTGAACATGCCAGTGTTGAGCATCATGCCTTTATCCAGGTTCTGCCAGTTCAGGGATACCAACTGAGCTCCCCGTCGCCAGTAGAAGGGCGGGTCGGGATTAGAGGAGGAAACGCGCAATGCGAAGGGGTAGATGCGCATCAGGTTGGAACGGTTATGGGCGAATAGAGCTTCACGATGGTTGATGTGTGCATCGCGGGCCGCCTTCTCGGACAGCGAAAAGATATGGAAAGGGACTTTCGCCTCTATTTAGTCCGTTAGCATAATAAAGCATTCATATCGGAATCTTGTTGCGTACCTGGCTGATCAAAATTACTGAAATGATATGCCCTGGTATAGATGGCCATTTCACTCAGAGCCTCGAGGATCGTAGAAGGCTTCGGGGGCTGCGAATCGACAGACTTCTCATCTGTCTGTTGTGAAGTCTTGGGGGGCTTCTCTTCCACGGGTGGCTCGGTGATATTGGTCGGGGGTATCGTTTTCGTTTTAATCAAGATTTTCCTTTTGAGATCTCCCAAGGTAGGAGGTTTCTGCTGCTCTGATCCCGGCGGAAGTTCTACCAGCAGCCCCTTCCAGGCCTCTTTCATAATATCGACCATCAACTGCTGCTGTTCCAAACAAGCATGTACTTCAAAGCTGACTATGATGGGAAGGTCGTTGTCAACAAAGGCGCTGTCGCGGATTGCATAGCAAATCTCGCGAAATGTAGTGCCTTTAGTGAGGGTATGTCCATGTAGCACTCGAGGCTCCCCTCGAACTGGCACTTGACTGGTCGATGCATTTTCCCCTGCTACTTGCTGGGGGGCTTTGCCGGCTTTTTGGCGTAGGGCTTCCAACTTCGATTTGGTGGGCTCTCTCAATGAGTTCCTCTTAGATTTGACCTTTTCCTTGATTGCAGCTTTGAGGCTCCCTTTTTCATCGTCACTGGAGTCACTGGAGTCACTACTGGAACTGCTCGTCTCCCCTTCATTTGCCCCAGGGGTTTCAAGCTCGCCATCCCAGACATCAATTTCAACTGAGCGGCAACCCCGCAGAAGCACCTGGCAGGAAGTTAGCAAAGATTCGCATGTTTTTCTCATATAAGACGAAGCAGCTCACATTTGTGTATGCACTGGCCGCGGCATCACTGTATAGCTGATTACCAGTCAAGTACGTGTTATGACTTGAGGAGATAAAATAATCAGAGATGGGTGCAGCGAGATCCAGCTCCTTTGCTGGCCCCTGTGCATTCGAGTCGGCACTTTTCATGTATGAACGGAAGGCATCTGCTGACTCCAGAGCGCTTGCAGTTTCCTTATTCCCAGCATCCGCAGCCGGCAAGTCATGTTGAATGGTGGTGAGAAAGTATTGCGCAGTCGGGGCGGACTTGGAGACCAGACTGTGGATTTTCTCCAGGTGCGAGTCCACGGAAGAGTGGAATGACTTGACGGAGGGTCCGCTCTTGCCCTCATGGAGCGCAAGATGGCGAGCTTGGTCGACGAGACCTTCAACTTTCTCCATTATTATTGTTGACTGGGATGAGATGATAACCAAGGCACCAGCTGTCCCAACCAGTGGGTGGTGGTGGGGTTTATCGCCAATGCCCCACGTTTCACCGCAGCCCGATCGATAGTTAATACACAGTAAAAGCAGACCAGGACAGGAACCAGATCACTATTAGAGGCGTGGAATACATGATTGTCTCGCGAGATACCTGGTTTGAACAAATTCCCGCCTAATTCGAGACTTGCTACCGCCTGTCTTCGACTAGGATCAGGCCAACGAAATCTACCTTGTTTAATCAGACCCAAGTCTCGCATGGCTTTCCCAGGTGTATAATGGGTATCCCATTCAGAGGAAACCGTAGTTATCGCTAGAGACCATTTACTGGCAGAAGCACTGGAGGAACATGACTTGAGCGACTAGATCCGCATAGCGTCGTCCCCTACCTCCTCGAACCCCGCCTTGTCGTTTAGCTCAATCTTGATTGTGACTCAGATCTGGGTTTTATCATTCGTCATTCCTTCTCCTCTTGTCTGAATATCCCCAAAGAAGCATCTAAACATCACCATGGCTGATTCCGAACCCGTTCACTTCTTCGATATCTTCTCCGATTTGCCAGGTGCCTCATCTTCCTCCGTGGACAAAACTCGTTGCTAAAAACAGTTCAATCAGGCGCATCCAAGTCATGGTCTCCGAATACCCTCAAGACGAGGATGGCCCTCAACTTCAAGGGCATTCCCTATACGCAGAGCTGGATCTCATATCCCGATATCGTACCGCTGATGAAGGGATTGGGTGTTTCGCCAAATGAAGTCGGCACGCCATACACCCTGCCGGCAATTATTCATAAGTCTGTGAAGTCCAATCCCAACGGGGCTATGATGGACTCGAGGCCCATCGCCGTCCACCTGGACAAGACTTTCCCGTCGCGGCCACTTTTTCCGTCGGGCGACGCTAGCTATGCGCTCTCGGTTGCTGTTGAAAAGGCTATTGGCGGGCTGAGGCCAGCAATGATGCCGCTCATTCTTCCCCGAGTGGCGGAGCATATGGATCCTAGAGGTAAGGAGTACTTTGTTCGCACACGCTCGGAGATCTTTGGAAAGCCTCTTGCCGAGGTACGACCCACGGACCAGGAGGGCATACAGGCGCTGTGGGAGATCCTTCAGAACGAATTCAAGTTCTTCGTCACATTGTTGAAGGGGAGAGAAGGGAAAACCGGTCCGTTCTTCGAGGGTGACAAGCCGGGCTATGCGGACATGGTCCTCGTTTGCTGGATTGCTTTCTTCCATCGATTTGATCTGGACGCTTGGGAAATGATCATGTCTCAGGGAGATGGGGAGCTAAAAGCGCTTTGGGACGCTTGTCTACCGTGGATGGAAGGCCAGGGCGAGGATAAGGACTGGCCGATCTCGCAATAGACTTCGAAATGCGGAAAGGCGAATATTGTATCTCACTGTCATTGGATATATAGTCGCACAATTGAGAAATCAACTGACATAGTAATACATGAAGGACGCCCTAGAGGCTCGCTCTGCCAGAAATTGAGAGCGAGGCGCAAGTATGAGAGCGCAAGTATGAGAGTGCTCAGAAATCGGCGTGTAACAAAAGAAACCCAAAATACTGACATTGCTCCCACAAAGACGACCATTGGGTGCGTGCAGGGGAAAATTTACAGGCCACGCAAGAAGTTGGACTCCTTAATGGCCTTGCGCCTAGCTTCTCTCGCGCTCTTCGTGATCTCCGAACGCTTCTGATTGCTCTCGGTGGCATCAGCGACAGCGTCCACAGGAGTGCCGTCACGGTTGTAGAAGGCGGGGGTGATATCGCTTGCGTGGTGGTGGGCGGGGATTTTTGGGGGGAGGGTTTTGGTGCGCGCTGCAAGCTTCTTCTCAAAGCGTTTGCGCTGCTTCTTATTCAAAGCTACGAGAAAAGGAGTTAGCTCGGCCACTATATGAGTAGTTCGGGACGCATACTGCTCGGGTCAACGCCGCCCATTTCCTTGTTGGACTGCTTGCCCGAATCATCCAGAAGACCCCACAGCCAGTCGGGGTATTCCGAGTCCTCCTTTGCGAAGACATCGGGCTTATTCTTGAAGTAGTTGAGACCGTTCAGCTTGGTCCCCGCCGGGCAGCTGCTAGGTGGGCGTTGCACAGCAGGTTTCGCGGGCTTTTCGGGATGAGCATCAGTGTGGACACCTTCCGGGGTGCTCAAGGGTTGGGAAACACCGGGAGTAGCGGAGGAGATTGCGGACGGAGTTGTGGCATCTCGGGCTGAAGGTTGACGCCCCTCGGAGGGGTGTGGGGGAGCGGCGACGGGCGGATTAGAATCACTGTATGACCGAAATTGGACACGAGCGATTGGGAATTGGCGTGAAGAGGCAGTCCAAGCCACCGAGGGTTGTTGGTGCAGCCGAAGGCGCAGACTCGTCCGGCAGCTTCTGCAGATCATGGTGTGCGAATGATTGGGGTGGGTTATCAATTCACAAGGTTGAAGGGTAGAAGCAAATTCATGCACCCATCCAGACTCCGCGCGTGGCTCAATTTCGCGCCAGGATGTTGATGCGACTCGAAAGAAAAACTGCGGCGCGGGTCGCCAAGCCGGAGAAAGGGTCACGTGGCTGTCTGTTGCGGCCTCAGGCTGCAAATGTTTGTGTCTCATCACCGCAGTTCAGGGGCCGACGGAATTTTCTTCGTGAGCATATCTCAGCAAGAAATCCAGCCAGTTTTGAAAAGAACCTTGCACTTGTCTATTGCTGTGCTCTCGTCGTCTCCGATTGAAGTCGCCTACTGTTCAAGTGGGACTTCATGGATACAACGAATTAGAAGTCGGTGGTCTCGGCAATCCCTCGTAGATGTAACTCGTTATTTTCTATCAGTAGCAATATGAGAACAGTAGTTATTTATACATCCAACAAATCGGTTGCCGGACCATCTACATGTCCCATGCGAGCTCATAAATACAAATTAGGAACAGTACTCGACCCAGTTATCGAGGTCCATGTTCTTGATCACTGTAGAGAATCCTTTCTCATTCGCCGCGTTGCAGGCCGCTGACCGTTGTTTTGCTGTCACGGCGTTGTTGTTATTGGTTCCGTCGGACTTGGGATATTCGATGTGAAAGACAGGTTTGTTTGCTTGGATGAACGGGTCGAATATAGCGCATTCATCATATTGGGCACATTGCTCGTTCACGCTCCATTGCATGTTATCGATCACAGAGTCGATGATATCGCCGCCATTCTTGAGGCCTATGGCCAAGCCACGGGCATCTGCTTCTTTGGCGAGGAAGTTGACGTAGTTAATGGCGTCCGCTTTGGTCAGCCCGAGTCCGTTTGAGTTGTCGTATGCATCGATATTATCCGGATCAACACCATCACAGCCTTTCTTCTTTGCCAGGTCGAGTCGAGTCTTCATGACTTCGCGTACGTTTTTAGAGTTGGTATCTAGCCACTTCTCGCCGGACCAGTCCGGCAGCTTGTTCCCAAAATCAGAGGAACGGAAATCGCTAGCGTCCGGACGCCAGTTCTCATAGGTTCCTGCTGAGAAATAACAAATAACTTTCCGCCCCATGTTCTGTAGATCGCATATCACCTTAACACGGTTGTCGAACATATCGATGTCGTAGACGGGTGCATCAACCGAAGTGTCGGTCAAGGGATTTAGTAGCTCGATCTGCCATTTGGTCCCAGCCGCTGGTTGCCATTTGACTGTGGTATTAGCTCCGCCATTCCCCCCATTGCTGGTCGGTGCATTTCCGCTCCTTTTTCCATGATGTTGCTTGAGCCCGATCCCAAGCCCGACTCCCAATCCCACGCCAAGCGCTACAACGATGAGCGCAACCAAGGACAAGACCAGTGCTTTCTTCTTAGATGACCAAGTCCACCATCCTGAAGTTGCCGATTGTTTCGCCATCAGAGAGTTGAATAGAGATAAAAAGTTCAAGCCCAGTAGTTATTGGCTGAACGGTACCAACGGTCACCGGGATGGAAGGCCAGATCGACTTGAACAACTAGTTCAGTTGAGATCAAAGGATCGCCCGGCTCAGAAACGTGACCAAGCCGAAGAAAACCAGCAGGGCGCTTGAAATATAGACATCTTATAATCCATTAAATCATGTACCGAGGAAAAGGATCCGACAAGGGGCTAAGCCGGAATCATGTGGGGGCGAAAGCTGTAGCGCTCCTTCAAGAATGGACGGTTGCACCAAGCTGCGCTGCGGATGGAATTCCCTAACTTCAAGCAAACGTTATTCTTTGGTCAGTTAGCCCAGCATGGAGATAGTCGTCAACATCAAGTTATTTGCGGGGAGAACGTCAGCGCAAAGAAAGTGGTAAAACAGTCAAAACGACATGAGGGTGCCAACATTCGGGAGTTCAAAGGGTAAGAATTTGGGAGCCTAGAACACGTCGGGGATGCCAAGCGCATCTAGCCATCAGGCCAGCTCAGGCTTTGCCCTTTTTCCAATCAAAGTCTCACATAGCCCCTATTATTATTGTCATGGCATCGTACGGTAGTGTCTTCGGAGTGAGCCGAGAATCCTGGATCGTGATCTTTAGTCTTTAAAACCAGATATAGTAAAAAATAGTGTGGTGGGACCATGTTGATCTACCGTTCGTTGATCGTCTCTATATTACAAGGGAATTCTGGAATTATCAATGGACCATGACAGTAAAAGCTTAGACCTGCCAATGGGGCCGGCTCAATTTCATCAAAAGCGAAAATGGAAGTCCCTTGATCTCACCATAAAGCCACAACTTGAAACTACCCAAGGAGACTTGTAGTTAATTAGTCGCAAAGTCCCTTTGGCTGACAAATTAGACGACCGTGGAGGAGCGGCGTGCGTGCAAAAACAGATGGTGTGGGATGCTCCTGCAGTTTTCCAAGGTCTTCCCGCCTCCTGATCCAGAACATCTCCAATTCTCCGGGTGTAGACCAGAAAATGTCGCTCCGTACTGGGTGTGTTGGCAAGCGCCTTCGCCTGTCCAGGATTATTGCACTAATGAATTGGGTGGTAGGATACTAGGGTTGTAATTTACGCTCCCTCCATCTCGTCCGCCAGATGCGAGCAGTTGCGTGGTCTGCATCCTGAAAAATTGCCTCGGTATCGAAATTCGGACGTTTACTTTCATGCGAGAGGACGTTTTTCGATCTGGTAGTATGCTTTTCAGTGGAGAGATCCGGTGTTCCATTTCTTCTCTGTCCGTCTCTTTTTCGAAATTATATCGAAAAAGGGAACCCTCGAATTGATTGCTCAGTACCGCAAAATCGGAAGCAATTCTTCTTCTACTCCCATATGCCCATAACAGTCATTCTACTCTCGCAGCCAAGTTGAATCATGCAGGTATTTATTTATAATTTTAGAAAAAAAGTACAGCGTGAAAAGGAAACCCCGAAACTCTTCATCCAAAAATAGAGAGAGATATGGCGCGCTTAGCTTTCTTCCACATCGAGTCAATCGGTTTCGGGTTCTCAATGCGATGCCACTCGCCATTAAACGCATTGACGAGCCACATTGAAAGACCTGTCATGAAACAATTAGCCTCTTCACTCCACTCCTGTTCAGAATTTGGGTGCACTCACGTTCGTAGACTAGCAAGTGCGCATTATTGAAGTAAATGCTATGATCCGAATCCGGGAACACCTGCATATCATAGTTGGCGATGTTCGACTGGTCCAGCCGGTCGATCAGCACCAGTGTGTTCTGGAGATGGACGTTATCGTCGGCCACGCCGTGCATGATCAGGAACCGGATGTTCTTGCCCAGGGCCTCGACGTCGGTGATGGTGGCGTTATCGTAGCCGGAGGGATTGTGCTCTGGGGTATGCATGTAGCGTTCTGTGTAGATGGAGTCTGTAAAGGTAATTATCAGTATGCGGTAAAATCATAACCGAACGACTGGGAGCGAACCGTAGTATCTCCAGTCCGTCACAGGTGCCACGGCCATGCCGTACTGGAAGGTCTGGCCAGCATCTTGTTCGAGAATTTTCAGCGTCATGAATCCACCATAGCTCCAGCCCCAAACGGCCATGCGGGCTTCATCCACATATTTCTTGCCAGCCCAAATCTTGGCTGTTTCAATCTGATCCCGCGCTTCGTAGTGGCCTAGATTACCGCGAATGATACAGCGCGCTTCTCGTCCAATCAATCCCGTCCCGCGGCCATCTACAGTAACGACAATGTAGCCCAGGCTTGAAGCGACGTAGGACTGGAAGTCCACGGTAAATTTGCGATCCACCGTTTGAGAGCCGGGACCGCCGTATAAGAAGAAGAGAACCGGGTACTTTTTGGCTGGGTTGAAGTGTGGAGGACGACGCTCGAGTACCTGAAGCGTATAGCCGTCGATTGTCACGTTTGAATAAACTTCCGCAGGGAGAGCAAAGTCTTCGATCATCTTCTTCAAATCAGGATTTTCTTCAATGACTTCCTCCTGCTCCACCTTGTCGCCGTGAGTATTGATTACGGCTTGCCAAGGGACATCGGGACCTTTGTAGCTGAGCAAGGCGTATCCGGTTCCATGTGAAAATGAGATCTCGAAGAATCCAGCCTTCGAGGTGTCCGTCAACGGTCGAAGGTCAGATCCATCTAGCCTGACCTGGTAGACGTGGCGCTGGGTTGGTGCTTCTTTCGTTGCAACGAAGTACACCAGGCCTCTGGCCAAATCAACGGCCGATGGAGCCTTGACCACCTCCCATTCACCACTGGTGAGCATGATCGGCTCCGGGTTTTCGAGAGGCGTGAAATAAGCTAAGTGATCATAGCCTTTGTGGATCACGGTGTCGACGTACCCGTCGTGCGGCCGGCCGCTGGCGGGGTCAGCAGGGATAAATCGTGTGGACTGTGAGGGCTCGACCCAACCACCGTCCAGCCCGGCAATATCCTCAGATCGGACCAGCTTGCCAGACCGAGCCTTGGTATCCATCACGAAGACCTTGACAATATCGCTTTCGCGGTTGGTCTCCCGAATCAAGACCTTGCCAGTAGATGCCCAGACAACTTCAATGATGATTCGATCGTCATCGACAAAGTCATCAGGCATGTCGATAGAGAAAACATCACTTTTCTCAACGTCGTAGAACTGCAGGCGAACCACCGGGTTCGGAGTTCCCGCTTTGGGGTATTTGATCTGCCGAACTTCAGGGTAGTTCTCAAGCCCCGGCGCCGGTTTCTTGCCGGACGGACGAGAGAGAAAGTATTGAACAGGATATTCGGGGACGGCGGACTCGTTGGTGCGCATGAAGGCAATATACTTGCCATCGCCAGACCACCAGGTTCCGCTGTTGCCCGCGAAAACTTCCTCCTCATATACCCAGTCGGGAACGCCGTAGAAGAGGTCCTTCCCACCGTCTTTGGTAATGGGGACGACGTTGGAAGAGTCCAGTTTTCGCAAATACAAATTGTTCTCCCTGACAAACGCGACGGCATCAGAGTTGGGCGACCAGCTGGCGAGCTGTACTCGTCCATCCAGGTGCTCGGGATCCAGGGCTTCGGCCTTCTGCGTCTCCACGTCGAAGATCCAGTAATTTCCGTAATAAGAGTGTCTCCAGTTTCCCTGCAGCTCCGATAAGAGCAACACCTTTTTCAGATCGGGACTTGGCCACACCTTGGAGATCTTGATCATGTGGCCGTCGACGGTCCACGCGTATGACTTCTTCATCAGAACTCTGGTTTCGGCGCCAGCGCCTCCATCCTTGCGGCTGCGAATATCCTCCACGCGCAAATATCCCTCTCCACCTTCACCACGCTCCACAAGCAGGCCATCCTCTCCATCCGGCCCTGCAATCCAGGAGATCGCATGCGACTTCCCAAACCACTGCCCCGTCAACACCTGCTCCAGTGTCACCGGCCTGCCGTAGCTCGTACCACCAGTCGCCGAGTCCGGCTCATGGATGCTGACAGCCGAGTTGGAGGCTGTGGCCGCGGCACCGGGCCGCTTCTGTGTGAGGAAGAGCACGAATGCAAGCACCCAGCCGCCGACACAGAGAAGGCCGAGCAACCAGACTATCCGGCGGGTGCGACTTCCGGACCCCGTCTTCTTCTTTGTCTTCTTGTTCGTGTGCGTAGGTAGAAAGGGCTCGTCGGGTTCCGGCTCTGCTCCGTCTTCGATGTCTCGATAGGGTGTTTGATCTTCTTCTCCTTCAGCCGCCGCCATGTTGGACTCCTTGTACCGATCGAGGAATGCGGCGGAGGCGACCGACAGGCCTGAGTCGAAGGTTGTTTCTGAGGCGAAGGAGGCCGACCGCTGGCGTGTCAATGGTACCGATTCCGGGTTGCCCTCGTCGTCGAGCTTCCCCATGGTCGTTTCAATGGGCGGTTGGGTCGGACGGAACTCCACGATAAACGAGTCAGATCCGATCCGCCTCTTATCGGGATGCGGAGTCCAATGACCCTTCAAAAGAATATGTATCAGGCCTGTCAACACGATGGAATGGAATTGAGAAGGCGAATTCCAATCCTGTATTTCAATCCAGTTCTCAGGATTAATTTCCCTACCAGTGTTGAATGTTCGTTCCTTCCGGCGCCCATGATTATTGGGGCGACAAAGAGCTTATTGAGGGCCGGCGGTGGCCCTTATTCAAATCCCTTTTCGACATCGTCCCGGCTGTCAATAAGACAGATGGAAGGAGGTCTAGTCTGCGTTTGATAACAGATAGACTGGCATGGGAACGAAAATACTGCTGCCAGGGAGACAAGGGTACACACCGGGGCAGATATCTGTCGAGTTGGAGAGGAGAGCGAAGCAACAACATGTACTTTCTACGACCATCAAGAACTCCGGAGTATACAGTTCAGCTTCTTTCTATTGTGCAAAATTCCATTTCTTTTTAATTACTCATTGCAATCGCATCATACAACGCCCAGCCGCTTACCGCGACAGAGCAATGTCGTCAATTCTCATGATCATCTTCACCGTC